CCAGGGGTTTTCTTGTTGTTTCGCTGGTTTGGCTTCGAAATTCGGATCCGAATTCGCCCCAGGAGAAGTCCGTAGGTCTGAGGCATCGGTACCTTTCCATCCTCCCACAGGCGCTCGAGGCAAGCGGGCAGCAGCTGCCCATCGATGACGAGCCTGGAGAGCTCGACCAGCTGGCGCCGTACTTCACTTCGGGAAATTGCACCCAGGCCGCAGCGGTCGCATCCTGCGGGCGCGGCAAGCCGCCTCTTCCAGCTCCAGAGCGAAAGTCTCGCTCCTATCGCGAGGTCGCTGCGCACTTCGAGATCAGTCTCGAAGGCGCCTGTGTCATGGACGTGCTCAGCGATCTCGCATCTGGTCGCACTTTGCATCCTGGTGACTACCTCTTGCACAGCGAACCTGGCGGGGAGGCCCATTGCGTGCTGCTCCGCGCGTCGGCGGCGGCTCAGGGGGAGAACGGACCTGAACAGACGTTCGACGTGATTGGCGCTCAGTGCGGCCCAGAAAAAGGTCGGCGCAGGTGCAGGGTTAGTTCGGTCGACTTCTGCAGGGCGATTGGTGGCGCGGCCGACAAGCGCCTGGCCGCGGTCTTCCGCATCAACGGCAAGATGGGCCGCCCCACGGATGCCTTAATGGACTTGGAAGCCGGCGCTTCTGCGAGTTCGCTGGCTGAAGTGCAGCTACCTCTCGCCTCCGCAGATCCATATGAGGTCGACTTGGCCTCGTTGTCCGAGCGCGATGAGGACGTCGACGAGTCCGACGAGCCTGCGTTTCTGGAGATGTTCTGCAGCATTCTGGGCAAGGAGGCTGCGGACTACCAGGCCGAGATCGGTACCTCTCGATCTCGCACTCACTGCCGCTGTGCCCTGTGCCCGTGGCGATCGCTCAGCCGCCGCGAGCATCTCATCGAGCACCAGAAGCACCACCGGCCCCTAAGTTCATCGCGTCTCGCGAGGACGATGCCCTCTTCAATGTCGCCATGTCCCTTAGCAAGTTCGACCGCGTCTGCTCGGTGGTTAATCGGGCGGCGCAGAAAGACGGCGGCTACCTGGCCCGCGCTGCCGATTTGCTTCGAGCGTGGAATCGTGACGCTCCTGCGGATGCGCTGAAGGCTGCGAGCCGCTCCAACGAAGCCCACCTCGTGTTCGTGTTAACGGAGGCGGGCCCTCGCTACTGGTTGCGTGCCAAGTGCGCTGACTGCATTCGCATTACCCCCAAGGTCTCGTACACCAAAGGCTTCGAGGACTCGCTGGTTAGCCGCGCTTTGGTCTCGCGCGGAGCGATGGGCGGCGTGCTGAACCATCTCCACAGGCAGTGGTCCCGCGACGGAGAGTCGCCGTTCTTGGCCTGCCGCCCACACCACTTGCGTGAGATAGTGGACCACGTGTTCCGCCACCCCGACGGCCTGGTTCACCATGCGGCACGACGGCTCATGGCAGAGGAGGTCGCCCTGGGAGAATTCACAGCGCTTACCCACGACGGCACCTTCAAGTTTCTGTTCTCCGTCATTGGCCAGAAGAAAATGGACTAGAAAAAGGGCGGGATCCACGTCGGGCACGCACTGTTGGGACTGACGGGAGCTTGCCCTGGATTCAGCGTCCAGCCCGACGAGAGCATGGAGAGCTTTGGCGCAGCGGTGAAGGAGCGCTCGACCCCCGCCGCAATCGAGCAGGTGCGGATGCTGTACTCCGACGCCCCGAGTGAGAAAATGCTGGAGCATTTGCCGAGGTGTCTCGGCGTGGCGCAAGACAGGTTGCACATTGCCTTGCGGGCTGAGCAGTGCACGGACGGCAAGGAGGACGGCTGGTTCATTCGAGTTGCTGCAGCTCACCAGGAAATTCTCCCGTCCTCTCGGCGTGTCGGAGGACAGCCTGGCGAAGGAGATCTACCATGGTTCCCCGACGGCTGAGGTGGCTTGGGACGACGCGCAGCCCGCGCGCGAGCGCGTCGACCGCGACTGGAATGATTTCTGCAACCAGCCATTCTCTTCGCACGCGGAGTACGTGGCCGAGTTGAAACGCATTGTCCAGAAGCACGACAACATGATGGACAAGAAAAACTCCAAGGGTGTGACGCTCCGCAAGGTCCTGATGAAGGCGAGCTCCATGAATATCTACTACTACTACCTGCGCAAGAACTCGGTGTTCGCCCAGCTCTCTCGCGGGCAGCTGATCGTCCAGGGCACGCCGCAGAACGAGGCCGAGCACAGGACTCTGAAGCGCTGGGCATGGTGCGTCTGGCAGCAGCACGAAGATCGCGTCCACGTGCTGAAGGAGGTCTACGCCCTGTACCGCTTGCTCGCCCATGCCGCCCAGCGCGAGCAGCTCGGCACGCGGCTTCCACCCCTGCGGCTCGCGCAGATCGTGGCAGGCCAGGTCGCTGCTGGCGGTGTCAGGGGCAATCCTGGGAGAAGCGAGGCGCCGCCTGCTCGAGAGGATGGCCCAGGAGTTTCGGTGCCCAACGGAGAAGGCCCGAAGCGCAGTGCACTCAATAAGTCCGTTGTCAAGATGGACGCCGAGTTGGCTGCGAAACAACAGGACGGCAAGAAGAAGCGGGCCGCTTCGTGGAGCAAGGCCACAATGGCAAAGAAGAAAAAGCCGTGGGGGCACAAAAAGAGAGCAGCGCAATCGAGGAAGGCAACGCCCTCGACGGTGCACGCCGTGGTCGAGGAGGTTGCGGGGCTCCAGGCCTAATGCGTCAAGATCAGCTTGGCCTGAGATCAGGCCATTCGGCCTGGTCCGGTCTAGGGCCAGGCTAGCATTCACCATTCTTTATTGCACAGCCAGACGACTGTATGAGCTGGGCTGCTAGACGTGAAACCTTCAACCATCAACATCCCTTTCCTCATCGCTACGGCAAGCCATGCCATACACCAGATTCGCGACAATTGATGCTGTTCGGATGCTTTTGCATGAATGCCAGACTTCACGTACATACCTGGATCTGCAGATCTGGGTTTGTTAAGGTTGTTGCAAAGCGATCCTTCAAACACACCCAAAACAGCTCTTGCTCACTAAGGCTTTTCCAGGGCCAGAAACCTGGTAGTGAGCAAGAGAGTTTTCTTTGGTTCCGAGCCAACTTCCGACCTTATCTGGATCTTTAGATGCTTAGATATTTAGATTTTTCTGGGTGAGCGTCTTGGGCCGAATGGTCCGGGATCCGGCCTTTCACGGGGGGGGGGGGCTGCGTCCCCAGCCCCTGGGCGAGCGGCGGGCGCGAATCCAGCCCCCATCGCCACCGCCACCCCCTGGAGCAGAACCTGGAGAGCGGGTGGGCAGGGGATGGCCTGGCCCGATAGCAGGTACTTTGGCTAGGACTGATGGGGCGAGCGGCAGACTGAGCACCTCCGCCCCTCACCCGCACCCCCCCCCAAAAAAAAAATGACCCGAACGTATGGCGCATCTCGGCGCCTCTCCCCCGCGTCATTCCTGCTCCAGGAGGCGGCCTGGGGGCCCGATGGGGAAGCGTCGAGGACGAGGGGGGCCCTATGTTGGCGCGGCGTTGAAGGGGAGGCAACAACGCTGACGCGGATGACGGATGACTAGGAGGTTGCAGTACAGATGAGGATGCGGAAACCGATGCCCCCTACACGCAGGAGGGATTCGTACAAGTAGGGGTGGGCAGAAGGTTTGCGAGGATGTGGAGAGATTGTCGCGACACGGGGGATGTGAGAGGATGGGGAGAGGTGGTTTGCCTGACAACCCCATTCCCGCAAAGTGGGCGCAGAATGGTCGCAGAATGGTCGCAAAATGGCCGCAACATGGTCGCAATATGGTCGCAACATGGTCGAACATGGCTACAAACTGGTCGCAACATGGTCGCAACATGGTTGCAAAATGGTCGCAACATGGTCGCGAAATGGTCGCAGAATGGTCGCAAAATGGTCGCAGAATGGTCGCGAACTGGTCGCTGGAACCTCCTTATGGCGTTTCTTTGGGCGAAGTGGTTGGCGGCTCGGATTATCGCTGCGCTTGGGCAGAGGATCATGTAATTAGACAGCGCATGGTATGACGGTGACGATGATGGTGATGACGATGGTGGTGGTGATGGTGATGATGGTGATGACGATGATGACGATGGTGGCGATATGGTGACGGCGATGTTGTTGCTGCTGGTGATGATGATGATGATGATGATGATGATGATGATGCTGATGCTGATGCTGATGATGATGATGATGATGATGATGATGATGATGATGGTGATGACAATCGAGACGGCGATGCGGATGATACGGGTGATGAGGATCCATATTCAGGTAAATATACCGATGGAACATACTATGGCTATGAAGATGAGGTTGGTTCTGATGAGGGTGGTAGTGCTGATGACGAGGATGAGGATGATGACCATGATCGTGGTGGTGATGATGAGGATGATGACCATGATCGTGGATGATGATGATGATGATGATGATGATGATGATGATGATGATGATGATGATGATGAGGAGGAGGAGGAGGAGGAGGAGGAGGAAGCACGAAGCAGGAAGCCGGTCGACGGGGGCGGGCAGAATGCACGAAGCGTGCATGGGAGCTCCGCCCGCCCCCGAAGACGACGGAAAGGAGGGAACCACCTGCTCCTGAGAGCAGGCGCCGGGAGGGTGGGCGCCGAGGCCAGGTGGAGGGGCTGTGGGCCGGAGATTGTCGGGAGAAGGGTCTTCAGAGCAGACGCCAGGAGTGAGGGTGCCGAGCCAGGTGGGGGGGGGCAGATGGGGGGGGTCAGTTTGGGGGGCTGAAAATTCCACGAGCCGGTCGAAATGGGGCACGACCCGTGAGGCCCAGGGCACGCCACGAGAGAACGTGGGCCAAGGGCAGGAGCCTCTGGGCGTAGGGCCCAAGGCCCCATGGAGCTGCCCAGGACGCAGGACGTTCCAAGGTGAAGGCCCCCCCCCCACAGCCCCCCACACGCACGCACACACACACACACGTAAGTCCAGGCGGAAGTGGCAAACCAATCTGTTGACACGCTGAATAATCTACGCTGCAGAGAATCATTCGAAAAGGCAATGAGTATATGAGAGAGGAACAGCATGCGGAGGAATAGGAGAACGAGGGGGGCGAGGAAAGAGCAGATAAAAGAGGGCCAGGCGAGGCGAGGTGAGAAGGGGGGGTATCGGGGCCATCCTGATGTTCTCCGGGGGCCGCCATGGCCATCACTTGTTTGGAAGACGGGAAAAATGGAGCGAAGCTTCGTCGCGACTCGCGCGTAGCGAAATTTCAAACTCAAGTCAAAGTGAGGCGGGGCCCCGGGGGCTGCAGCGAGCCAGCAGAAGGTTGGTCTCCTTACTGCGTTCCGGGCGGCGCCAGAGCACACGCAGGGCTGCGGGGACGTCGGGGGGAGGGAGGTAAGCAGGATGTTGTAGTGTTGTTCGTGTGAAAGAGCGAGAGAGAAAGAGAGAGAGGCACGCGACCTTGATCGCTGAGCTGGCGCAAAGCGATTGCGCACGTCAGGCGGGGAGGCATCTAAGAAGATTATTCGTGACTCGGCAAGCTTTGTGCCCTCTGGTCCCAAGCTGCTGCCACAGGCGGACTCGTTCACTTGCGCAGCAAGTCTTGCTCGTCCTCCACGGGCACTGGCTGGTTGGACGCGCGGCTGCGGGAGACGCGGACGAGCGCACCCATAGCGACAAGAGCGGACACCAATCCAAGCGGCACTGACACCGCAACTGACGTCTTGTCGAGCGTCAAGGTCGGCTTCGCCTCCTGAGCGGCATCGTACAAGCGAAGCTTCGTTGGGCAAATGTCCGTGTCGGCGACGCCATCGCAGTCGGGGCACTCGGCAACGAGGATGTCCTTCGGAGACTTCGCGGGCGCCACCGCGTTGTTGTTGGAGCCGGAGTCCGCCTTGCTCTCCTCGCAATGATGCGCGAACCTGTCAAGGCAGGTCATGCCCTGGCAAGGGGGTGGGGGTGGGGGGGTGTATGAGCTCGAGATGCAGACGTTGTGGTACTCCTGGCTTGTCGGGCCACGGTTGGGCGTCGCGTCTGGCACGTAGTAGTATTCGTTAGCTGTCTCCCAGTCGCCCACGGAGCAACCGAACGGTGCCTGACCGGGTTGCAGATCTGAAAACGTGCCCCCCACCATCGTGGCATACTTCTCGCACTGGGCCGCCGACTGTACATTTTGCCACTCGCCGACTGTCTCGAGGTCCTTGCACTCCTGATTATATCCAGTTCCCGCTGTTGCTGGCGTGACCTCCTTGTAATCCGATTTCTCCTGCGCGCCCACGGTAGTCAACAGGCCAGCGAGCGAAAGAGCTCTCGCCATGAAGGCCATGGATGCGGGAGGGGAACAGCGCGAAGAGGTAAAGCGGGAGATGTTAAATTAAGCCTCCCTCGAGCAAACTTGCCTTGAACCAAACTACGGAGAGCTCGTGGAAGACTCTTGCGGCCTTTCACGGGGGGGGGGCTGCGTCCCCAGCCCCTGGGCGAGCGGCGGGCGCGAATCCAGCCCCCATCGCCACCGCCACCCCCTGGAGCAGAACCTGGAGAGCGGGTGGGCAGGGGATGGCCTGGCCCGATAGCAGGTACTTTGGCTAGGACTGATGGGGCGAGCGGCAGACTGAGCACCTCCGCCCCTCACCCGCACCCCCCCCCAAAAAAAAAATGACCCGAACGTATGGCGCATCTCGGCGCCTCTCCCCCGCGTCATTCCTGCTCCAGGAGGCGGCCTGGGGGCCCGATGGGGAAGCGTCGAGGACGAGGGGGGCCCTATGTTGGCGCGGCGTTGAAGGGGAGGCAACAACGCTGACGCGGATGACGGATGACTAGGAGGTTGCAGTACAGATGAGGATGCGGAAACCGATGCCCCCTACACGCAGGAGGGATTCGTACAAGTAGGGGTGGGCAGAAGGTTTGCGAGGATGTGGAGAGATTGTCGCGACACGGGGGATGTGAGAGGATGGGGAGAGGTGGTTTGCCTGACAACCCCATTCCCGCAAAGTGGTCGCAGAATGGTCGCAGAATGGTCGCAAAATGGCCGCAACATGGTCGCAATATGGTCGCAACATGGTCGAAAATGGCCGCAAACTGGTCGCAACATGGTCGCAACATGGTCGCAACATGGTTGCACAATGGTCGCAACATGGTCGCGAAATGGTAGCAGAATGGTCGCAAAATGGTCGCAGAATGGTCGCGAACTGGTCGCTGGAACCTCCATGGCGTTTCTTTGGGCGAAGTGGTTGGCGGCTCGGATTATCGCTGCGCTTGGGCAGAGGATCATGTAATTAGACAGCGCATGGTATGACGGTGACGATGATGGTGATGACGATGGTGGTGGTGATGGTGATGATGGTGATGACGATGATGACGATGGTGGCGATATGGTGATGGCGATGTTGTTGCTGCTGATGATGATGATGATGAGGATGATGATTATGATGATGATGATGGTGATGACAATCGAGACGGCGACGCGGATGATACGGGTGATGAGGATCCATATTAAGATAAATATACCGATGGAACATACTATGGCTATGAAGATGAGGTTGGTTCTGATGAGGGTGGTAGTGCTGATGACGAGGATGAGGATGATGACCATGATCATGGTGGTGATGATGAGGATGATGACCATGATCGTGGATGATGATGATGATGATGATGATGATGATGATGATGATGATGATGATGATGATGATGATGATGATGATGATGAGGAAGCACGAAGCAGGAAGCCGGTCGACGGGGGCGGGCAGAATGCACGAAGCGTGCATGGGAGCTCCGCCCGCCCCCGAAGACGACGGAAAGGAGGGAACCACCTGCTCCTGAGAGCAGGCGCCGGGAGGGTGGGCGCCGAGGCCAGGTGGAGGGGCTGTGGGCCGGAGATTGTCGGGAGAAGGGTCTTCAGAGCAGACGCCAGGAGTGAGGGTGCCGAGCCAGGTGGGGGGGGGGGCAGATGGGGGGGTCAGGGTCAGTTTGGGGGGCTGAAAATTGTCGAGTGGGGCAAGCTTGAAGCAAGAAGGCGCCACGAATCCATGAATCCACGAGCCGGTTAAAATAGAAAGGAATCTGTGAAACCACGAAATGCCTACTTCCAACGACCCGTGAGTACAGCCCAGACATGGCCACGAGAGAACGTGGGCCAAGGGCAGGAGCCTCTGGGCGTAGGGCCCAAGGCCCCATGGAGCTGCCCAGGACGCAGGACGTTCCAAGGTGAAGGCCCCCCCCCCACAGCCCACCACACGCACGCACACACACACACACACACACACGTAAGTCCAGGCGGAAGTGGCAAACCAATCTGTTGACACGCTGAATAATCTACGCTGCAGAGAATCATTCGAAAAGGCAATGAGTATATGAGAGAGGAACAGCATGCGGAGGAATAGGAGAACGAGGGGGGCGAGGAAAGAGCAGATACAAGAGGGCCAGGCGAGGCGAGGTGAGGAGGGGGGGTATCGGGGCCATCCTGATGTTCTCCTGGGGCCGCCATGGCCATCACTTGTTTGGAAGACGGGAAAAATGGAGCGAAGCTTCGTCGCGACTCGCGCGTAGCGAAATTTCAAACTCAAGTCAAAGTGAGGCGGGGCCCCGGGGGCTGCAGCGAGCCAGCAGAAGGTTGGTCTCCTTACTGCGTTCCGGGCGGCGCCAGAGCACACGCAGGGCTGCGGGGACGTCGGGGGGAGGGAGGTAAGCAGGATGTTGTAGTGTTGTTCGTGTGAAAGAGCGAGAGAGAAAGAGAGAGAGGCACGCGACCTTGATCGCTGAGCTGGCGCAAACGATTGCGCACGTCAGGCGGGGAGGCATCTAAGAAGATTATTCGTGACTCGGCAAGCTTTGTGCCCTCTGGTCCCAAGCTGCTGCCACAGGCGGACTCGTTCACTTGCGCAGCAAGTCTTGCTCGTCCTCCACGGGCACTGGCTGGTTGGACGCGCGGCTGCGGGAGACGCGGACGAGCGCACCCATAGCGACAAGAGCGGACACCAATCCAAGCGGCACTGACACCGCAACTGACGTCTTGTCGAGCGTCAAGGTCGGCTTCGCCTCCTGAGCGGCATCGTACAAGCGAAGCTTCGTTGGGCAAATGTCCGTGTCGGCGACGCCATCGCAGTCGGGGCACTCGGCAACGAGGATGTCCTTCGGAGACTTCGCGGGCGCCACCGCGTTGTTGTTGGAGCCGGAGTCCGCCTTGCTCTCCTCGCAATGATGCGCGAACCTGTCAAGGCAGGTCATGCCCTGGCAAGGGGGTGGGGGTGGGGGGGTGTATGAGCTCGAGATGCAGACGTTGTGGTACTCCTGGCTTGTCGGGCCACGGTTGGGCGTCGCGTCTGGCACGTAGTAGTATTCGTTAGCTGTCTCCCAGTCGCCCACGGAGCAACCGAACGGTGCCTGACCGGGTTGCAGATCTGAAAACGTGCCCCCCACCATCGTGGCATACTTCTCGCACTGGGCCGCCGACTGTACATTTTGCCACTCGCCGACTGTCTCGAGGTCCTTGCACTCCTGATTATATCCAGTTCCCGCTGTTGCTGGCGTGACCTCCTTGTAATCCGATTTCTCCTGCGCGCCCACGGTAGTCAACAGGCCAGCGAGCGAAAGAGCTCTCGCCATGAAGGCCATGGTTGCGGGAGGGGAACAGCGCGAAGAGGTAAAGCGGGAGATGTTAAATTAAGCCTCCCTCGAGCAAACTTGCCTTGAACCAAACTACGGAGAGTTCGTGGAAGACTCTTGCGGCCTTTCACGGGGGGGGGGGCTGCGTCCCCAGCCCCTGGGCGAGCGGCGGGCGCGAATCCAGCCCCCATCGCCACCGCCACCCCCTGGAGCAGAACCTGGAGAGCGGGTGGGCAGGGGATGGCCTGGCCCGATAGCAGGTACTTTGGCTAGGACTGATGGGGCGAGCGGCAGACTGAGCACCTCCGCCCCTCACCCGCACCCCCCCCCCCCAAAAAATGACCCGAACGTATGGCGCATCTCGGCGCCTCTCCCTATCCGTATGCCCATACTCCTGCTCCAGCTCCAGGACGCGGCCTGGGGCCCGCTGGGGCCGCGTCGCGGTCCGGGGGGGGCCCTCTGGGTGGCGACGGCGTTTGAAGGGCCGGAACGCACCCACGCTACGCGGATGCCGCTATGACTAGGTAGGTTGCAGTACAGAGAGGATGCGGAACCCGCTTTGCCCCCTCCCCGTATGGCACAGGGTGGTTGACACACACAAGTCAGGGGTGTTTCCGACGGTTTGCGAGGATGTGTGGCAAAGATGTCGCGACACGGTGGATGTAAGAGGAGGGGAGAGTGGTTTTGTTTACAACCCCCCCATTCCGCCAAAGTGTCGAGAATGGCGCAGAATGGTCGCAAAATGCCGCAAACAGCTGCGCAATATGGTCGCAACATGGTCGAAAATGGCCGCAAACTGGTCGCAACATGGTCGCAACATGGTCGCAACATGGTTGCACAATGGTCGCAACATGGTCGCGAAATGGTAGCAGAATGGTCGCAACATGGTCGCAGAATGGTCGCGAACTGGTCGCTGGAACCTCCTTATGGCGTTTCTTTGGGCGAAGTGGTTGGCGGCTCGGATTATCGCTGCGCTTGGGCAGAGGATCATGTAATTAGACAGCGCGTGGTATGACGGTGACGATGATGGTGATGACGATGGTGGTGGTGATGGTGATGATGGTGATGACGATGATGACGATGGTGGCGATATGGTGATGGCGATGTTGTTGCTGCTGGTGATGATGATGCTGATGAGGATGATGATGATGATGGTGATGACAATCGAGACGGCGACGCGGATGATACGGGTGATGAGGATCCATATTAAGATAACTATACCGATGGAACATACTATGGCTATGAAGATGAAGTTGGTTCTGATGAGGGTGGTAGTGCTGATGACGAGGATGAGGATGATGACCATGATCATGGTGGTGATGATCGACCGTACCTGAGGCGAGCCAGTTCGCACGCATCACCAGCCGCTTTAGATGTAAGTGGCGCGCTGTGCTGCTGCGACGGCGGCTCGCTGTTGGCTTGGCGTGAGCTGGCCCCCATGGGTCGCCGCAGCTCTCGCCTTGTGGTAGGTATATAATGCCAGCGCGGCCATTCGCAGCGCACCAGCGCGCGGGAACGTGCGGCTCTCGCGGTTGTATTCGTTGTCGGCCGCTAGGCCTGGGAAAGTCTGATGGTAGGAGGGGGGGGCCAAAGAGGGAACGGCGGACGGGGCAGGAAAGATAAAGGGCGATGGAGTCAATCTGGGCGGACCCAAAAAGGCACTTAGCGAACTCACGCTCGTGGCTTCGATGGCTGGTTGTCCAGCCAGCTGCGATGGTCTTTATTATTGACCACTGCCAAGCAGGTCTGCACTTCTTGATCGTAGCAAGACACTCCCCCCACCGCTCCGCCACCCCGCCCACGACGCTATCAACAAAGCCCCAAGCGTTCAGACGCTTGGAAATAGTGACTTCAAGTTTACTGGGGAGGAGAAAGAGGCGGAGGAAAGAGGGGGCCGCATGCTGGAGCTTGGGTTTCTTGCCCACCGCTTGCGCCGCACGAAAT